CACCGGCCCCAGGCGCCTCAGACCAGCGCCAGCTCCGCTCTCCGCGGCCCGCTGAGGGAGCGGAGAGTGAGCCGGCCTCAGCTCCGCCGGGAATCGCCGCCGCCGCCGCCGCCGCCGCCGAAGCCGCGGATTTCCTGGCAAGAAGCAAACTCTGGCCAAGACTTCACTTCTCAACCGCCCCTGCTGCCTTCCCGGGGGCGAACGCCTGGGCCAAGTGGCCCAACCCGACAAGCCTCTGAGCCAATTGGAGACAGCATGGGCAGGGAAAGGGGCGGTCCAGTTAGCGGCTCCACCTATCCGAGTGCTGTGGAGGCGGGCCAGGACGGGACCGTCACTCCCGGGTTTGAGTGAGCCCACTCCGCCCCTCGCTGCCTGCCCTCCCCCACTCACTCCTGGCCGTCCCCGCCGCTAGTCTGATTCCCCCTGAAGAAGACGCGGGGATAAGTCTTGGCGCTTCTCGCCGACCACTGCGAGAGAGCGGAACAGCTGGAGGAGGCAGGGACTACGTAGAGAAATGGAGAGGAGGAGGCATACTAGGGGAGGGAAAGAACAGGTGGCTCTAGAAAGCAGAAATGTAGGTGTGTATTGGGCAAGACTATGGGGAAGGGTAAGACCTGGGGCTCACCCAAGTGAGGGAGGCTAGGGGAGCTGGAGAGCCGGGAGGTTATTAGTAAAAAGGAACACCTGAGAGAAACGAGCGCGCAGGGGTGCGGAGGGAGGAGGGAGGAGGGTGAGGCTGGGTGGTGACAGGTTGACTCGATGGGAAGCAGGGGCAACTCGGAACAAAGGTGAGCTGAAGGTGTTCCTTACGTGAGGAGGTTTAAGAAACCAGAAGAGTAAAGAGAATAAAAGTCCAAAAGGAAGGGAGATGCACTCTGGGGTAAAGGTCCTAGGAGAGAAGGGGCAGGAGATAGTTTTCTAAATTCTCATTCCTCTCCAAAAAAACAAAGACAAACGCTTATCCTTTAACCCAGTTGAGTTGTGCAGCTGCAAGATCCCCGATGGGATAAATGCCATCCTAAACCGTTGTATTCTGTTGTGAAATGCATCTCTCGCACCCTCCTTTTTAAAAATCAACTATAGTGTAAGCATGTTGTTGCGGGGACCCGCCTGGGAAAAACACCGTCCCCCACGGGTTAGCAGCCTGTCAAAAGAGAGGCCCAATTAGGGCCCTTAGGAGGAAGGTTTAGAAGATTTGGGGGCGACAGGTAAGGCCCCGCCCCTTTAGCCACCACCTGGGAGACGGTACCCAGAGCAGAGTTCCGGTACCCACCGGTCGTCTCACCTAGGAAGACTGGAGGTCGACCCCACCCTCTCCCCGCTAGCTCTGTAGGTTGACTCTGTCCGGAAGCGCCAGGTGAGCGACGCAGGCCTCGTCCCCGCCCCCCTAGCGCCGGGGGCGGGGCCTGTAGGCGGGGCTTCCAAGCGGGGCCTTTACGCCCCGCCCCTTGCCTGGGCCCTGCCGCGCCGCTGCGGCTCCTCCCCTCTCCTTCCGTCCTCGACTCCTTCCGTCGGTGGCTCCTTCCTTCCTGCTTCACCGACACGTTTCGCGAAATGGGGCTGAGCCTCCGGCCGGTTAGCACCCCTTGAGGATCTGGAAGCCGGACCCACAATGGAAGAAGACCAGGAGCTTGAGAGGTAACGGCCGAGAAGGCGGGTGGGCAGCAGGAACGGGCCGCGCCCTAGTACCGGGAGTCTGGCGGAAGGGCTCGCGGCCCAGCCTACCAGAAGGGCCTGGCTTGAAGGAGAGGGGAGGAGAGAGATGTGGGCGCCCAGGCAGGGAGCGGGGCCCAATATTGCAAAGAGGAGAGGAGACATGGATGTGTTTGAATGGAGACGCTCAGTACACTGTGACTTAAGGAGGGAAGCCAAGCCCAAGGGAAGACCAGAATTCATTCTCCAACTGCCCACCACCGATTAGAACCGCAGGAGTCAATAAAGCTAACGTAGACTACGGTCACGCACGGGCCACGCTTCCCTGAGCGATGGCACAGATGTGTGTAGTAAGGCCTAAGCCCCTCAGGTCCTTCCTCTGTGCAGACTCCTTACTAAATCCAGTAGTTCTTTTTCCTTCTTATCCTCAGGCCTTCCATTATATCAATACTTTCCCTTAGCTCTTGCAAATGGAAGCCATAGTTGAACCTGCAAGTTGATAAAAATTTATAGTCTCTACTTATATAATGGAATGATCTTTTTCGACATCCTACAACTCCTTTTTCACCCTCTACCAGGATCCACCCTGTTCTTACTCTTCCTTTCTTCTTTACCAAAAGATTTTTTTTTTTCCGCAAACGCTTGTGTTTTAAAGAGAATTCCCCTTAACGGCCAAGTGGAGGAATAGGTAGAAACTGGAGGTATTAAATTATGTATTCATGTTTATTGATGTGGAGGCAGGAAAATAAGGGGCTGATGCTACTTTGTGTAATTGGAGTGCATTTGAGTAAATATGTTGCAACTGTGCTATAATAAATATAAAAACACTAGTTACGAAATATTCAGTATGATCTCATTTAAAATATGTGTGTAGAAAAATATCTGGATTGAAGACCTCAATGGCTGAAGGCGAGAGGAAGACAGCCCTGGAAATGGTCCAGGCAGCTGGAACAGATAGACACTGTGTGACATTTGTATTGCACGAAGAGGACCATACCCTAGGAAATTCTCTTCGTTACATGATCATGAAGAACCCAGAAGTGGAATTTTGTGGTTATACTACAACCCATCCTTCAGAGAGCAAAATTAATTTACGCATTCAGACTCGGGGTGCTCTTCCAGCAGTTGAGCCGTTTCAGAGAGGCCTGAATGAGCTCATGAATGTCTGCCAACATGTGCTTGACAAGTTTGAGGCCAGCATAAAAGAATATAAGGATCAAAAAACAAGAAGTGAATCCACATTCTAGTTCCTTGTGCACTATACAGGGATATATACTATCCTCCAGGATATTTTTTTTGTGATCTCGCAAAATCCAGAAGTAGAAGCTTGTAATTGCGACATGATCTCCCCAGAAAGTTGTACTTTTAGCTTTTTACCCATTTCAGCTGTTGGAATCCCTGCAAGAGCCTTTGTATACTTCTAATAAATTCCCTCTTCAATTTAAACTAATTTGAGTGGTTTCTGTTCCTTGGTCTTTAAGGTTAACTCTTGTGGGATATTTTTCTTTTCATTGATCCAGCGTTGGAACAGAGGAAGCCAAATCAGAGGCCAAGGCAAGGACTTTGATCATGGGACTTAAATGGATTATACATGCATATCTGATTGGGGGAGAGGGAGAAATGTAATAGAACAGGACCCCAGTGGACTGTGACTGGCTTAAAAAAAAGAAAGAGAAAGCTGGGAGTGGCAGAAAGTCTTGGCTTTTTGCTAGATATTTCTTAGTAACTTGAAAGAATTGCATCCTGGGCCAGGTGGGGTATAATTTGAAAGAACTATGAGAATTTGAGGTCTCAAGCTCCATTTTTGTTATAGCATTTATCAGATACCACTTCACTGCTTGAGTTTCAGGGCACTAATAAAATATTTAGTCAGAAATGGCCTAAAAAGGTTGAGATCTTATAGTGGGAAAAAGGAGATGACCAGATAACATTTGCAACCATGAGTTATATTTCTTAAGTATAGCCAGGGTTAAATATGAGAAGCAGTCATTAGTTTAAAGTATGCACAAGGAGAAGAAAAATTCTATGTGGGAAAATGATTGTTTTGGGAAAACTTAAAAATAGTAAGGAATCACCTACAAGACTCATCCTCTCTACCTCTTTAGTCTTGTGTCTTATACTTGCTGAACCCATCTGAATCCTCAGTAACCTTCCCCCTTACCTGCCTATCCCCAGTACCCTATTCTTTGTGGCCTTTGATTATGCTGTTCCTTCTTCGGACATTCTTGTTTCCACCATATTTTAGGGAAGAAATTAACATAGTCCCACCCTAGTTGGGAGCTTCTCTGTGCTTTCATGATACTGTTTCCTAGTATTGACATTTCTTACACTATTGCATTATTTACATTGTCTGCCGGCTATATTGACGTGTAGCACAAGTTAGTGCCTGTTAGGTAATGCAGTTATAGTAAATGCTATATGAATTTCTGTATTTAGGTACTTACACATACAACCTTTTATTCACTCAAATTTGACCCTTTTACTAGCTTATGATAGAGTTCACATTTCCTCGGTCAACTTTATATTTCTGTATTTATTGAGTACCTGGTAAATACAGACCTTTGGATAGATGTGCTAGTGGATTAAACACAGGTACTGTTCTCATGGAGCATGCATTATAAAAGAAATGACTTCTACTTTTGTGGGGGGGAAAAGTCAAGATAGAAAGTGAAAGCTTGAAATGGAAATCTGCATTAGGTTTTGTGGTCAGCAGATGTCTTCCAGAGATAATGGGAGAAGGAGTGAGTTATGCAAGGAGTAAAGAAATGTTCTGGGGAAATAGTATGTGCAAAGGCCCCAAAGTAGAAAACTGGTGATTTGAGGAATTGATAGTATTGGAAGGAAATTTACATGTCTGTAGCATGGTAAGCAAGAAAATGGTCCTTACTCTCTGGGTAGCATGGGAACAAGAGCTGTGGTGGTATGATAGCCAAATGCTTTGATTATAGTAGTGAAGGGCTGAGGAAAGGAGTGGTATAGAGGCCAGAGTAGAAATAGAGACACAAACTAAGAGACCTTAAAAACAGTAAACTAATAATGGAGAAAAGACTGTATTTGAAATATATTTTAGAACTAAGTTAGTACAAAGGTTCAGAGACAGATGACTCCCACCTACATTTGGAACCAAATTACTGCGATAGAAGCTTAAGAGTGAAATAGAGGTTGTTTCACTTTGAAACATGGTAGATAGTAGGTATGAAAGTTGGAGGCTTTAAGACATCTAAGCTGTAAATAGACTGAGTTCTTGCCATAAAGATGTAAATCCAACCCCTAGCTGGGTAATCTCAGTATTTAAAAGTTGAATAAAAGAGATGTAGTAAGTTAAATCATGGAAGCCAGAACTCTCAAGGAGAGAATGATGTTGAATGAGTCAAATGAGTTCAGAAAAATGACAATTGGCATTAACAGGGAGGCGATTGGTCAGTGGACAGCATTAGTTAAGTGCTTAAAAAGGCTAAATAGTAACACATGTACAGAATAGTACCTTAGTTTGGGTTTCCCACTAAAGAAAAAATACTGTAGGACATTGGGGAGCCAAATTTAAGTGGAAGCAGAAATAAGGAGAGATGAAAGTCATGGGACAAAGATCTGGAAATAACCTATGATGACACTCTAGAAAGCCAGTGTCAATGTAAGGAAATTTTACATTGAAACTATAAGGAAATCCTATAGGGATAAGTGGAGCAGGATCAAAAATTTCTTCCCTCTTAAAAATTTTTGCCTATAGGTAGTCCTGTGGGATAAACAGGACTATCTAAACAGTTTTAATATCTCCTACCCAAGACCTTAGAGGAGATGAAAGTAAAGGAAATCAACATGGGGGTACAGAACGATTGTAGATTGAGATAATAGTATATGTAGAAATGCATTCACTGGTCACTTACGAGACATCTAACAGCTTTACTGCTCCTGAAAGGATTTTGTCCCTGATCACTGGCATGCTGTTTTGATCTATTCTGGTTGTTCATAAACACAGGTTCATACAAAAACCTTCCCAGCACACATGTTTGAAAGGTAAGGCAAGGAAGATAGGCAAGAGATACCACCTACCTGGGGAAGGAATCTTTTCCTAAAGTCTGTAGAAGCCTGAGGCAAGCTGGATTAAACTACAAAAGGGTGACAGTGATAGGAATCATGTTTATATAAACAAACCATGATTTAATCAATATCTCTGGTTTAGTATTTTACTCCAAATAAAATGATTCATCTCAGAAACTCCGTTCAACTGTACTATACCTTTTGAAGAGCTGATTTTTAAAGTGATTGCGTAGCAAAGGTTTTTAATATATAATTTGAGTATTTCCCTAGCACTTTCCATTTTCAAAGCATTTTGCAAACTAATTATTATAAATTGCATATAGTTATAACATCTAAGTGCTCTAATTAGTTGATCTAATGCACAGATGCCTTACAAAATCTCTAGAGCTAAAAAGTGGTCCATTCAGAACCACTAGGTTCCACTTCAAGGAAATATGAAAGCATATAGTTTTATGGGCCACCAACTCCTAACTTCTCTTAATTTCTCTTTAAAATGTTAACATTGTAGATAGTCTTTAAGTCGTCTTTTTTGGTTGGTATTATTTAGAGTAGGAAACTAAAATATTTATAGTACTACTCAAACTGCGCTCCTAGGAAGTTTACCCAAATCTACCAATGTTCAAATTCTTAATGCTGGTTTTTCTTTCACTATTTAAAACTTTATAAACTGTCCCATTATAAGTTATGTGGTCAGTTTTTGGTTTTGATTTTGGTGTTACCTAATGAAATTTCTTCTGAACTGAGCTTGAGTGTACAGCAAATACCTACTTAGATAATGGTTCTCAACAGATGGACATTAAGAAACTATAAAATGACGTGTCCTAAAATCACCTTCGGTGGCTTTGGAGATGACAGACAAGAATTGAATACGTGAAAAAGAAAGCAAATTTTGTTTATAATGAAGCACTAATGTGTAGTGTAGACTGTTAGGTGCTTAACCCAGAACAGAGTAGGTGAGACACTTGAAGCAGTGCCTCAGATGCAGCCTCTCTGCCAGTCACTCTTCTAAATGCTGGAGAGAGCAAACGAGGCCTTCTAGTAATGCCTGGAATATAGAAGTTGAACTTCTAAAAATAAATATAATGTTTCAGGATAAATGGTTTCTTCTTTCCTAGTGAAAGAAGCTACTACAGAGTCTTGAGTAAGGAACACATGAAGTTTTCAGTCTTTTATCTGGATGCCTGTGTAAAATGAATGAATGGAAGAAACTGGAAGACAAGAGTGAGCTCAGGGCCATTTCTAGCAACCCCATTGTAACTAAGGAGGGCATTGTTAAAGAAATATATGTAAAATGATTGATACTGAAAAAACTGCTAAAAAAATTTGGAGACAGATTATGTATAGGGGTAAAAGAGGGAAGGATTGCTTTTGAGCCCATATCTGTGTGTCTTTGGCCCTTTTGTTTTTCATCTACTCCCTCACAAAACCTGTATGGCAGGATTTACCATCTCTCCTCCCAACCTGTCCTTACCAGTAGGAATCAGTGAGTACATCCACCTTCCCCTCTTTCCCTCTACCCATGTCAGAAAAACTCACATCTTTAACAAGAACTGAATCCAGAGCTCCAGTTGTGAAAATCAGAGGTCAGTGAGCTGAGGGGCCCTTGCTGTTCTCTGCTCTCTCTAACCTACTCTCTTCAGTGGGAACATTCATTCTTTTGTTAGGAGAAAGGAAGTCCTGAACAAACTCCACAAATAAGATAGCGAATTTGCCCTGTAAAACTTTTCATTCATTCCTCCTATAAATATTGAGCAGACAAATGTAGGCACAGTTTAGGTACTAGGGATACAGTAGGGAACATATTGACCAACTTGCAGATTGTCTCATAGCAGAAATAGGAAATAAATATATAAAAATACAGTGTAATTTAGCTGGTAATACAAATGGAGAAGCACTGAGAGACTGAGTAGTTAAGGAAGGCCTTTCTGAGGAAGTGACTTTTTTTAAGATTTTTTTATTTATGCATACAAGAACTGGGGCATAGGTCAGAGGTATGAGGGGTGAGAGGATTCACCCAGAGACATAGTGGAGAACAGAACAGGTATATCTACTGAAATGCACTGCTGAGGGTAGATTAGTGGGCAAGTGAGGAGAGGTCTGCTACACCATGTGGATCAGCTCCCTAGTTAGGAAGCAAATTCATGCCACAGTGGCTGGCGATAGCTTGGTAGTGCTGAGACGTTAACTAAACCCAGCACTACCAGGGAAGGCCTGAGGAAGTGACTTGAGCAGAGAAATAAATGAAAATGATCCCAAAATTTTCTAAAAGGTGAACTTAAAGATTCCTTTTTAAAGGAATAAACTATTTCAGCACTGTGTGTGTGGTTTATCTTAGTGTATACATTTCTACCACTTATCTCTAATCTCTGCCTAATACTATAGTAAAGAATATTGAGTTGTTACTATGTGGGT